ATGTGGCACCTAGGTTGTCACACCATAGACGAGCTGCAGGTGGATGAGGAACTTGTAATTCAGTTAAGATCTTTTGAACCCAAATCATTTCGGCGGTAGCATTGGCAAGAGCTTTATATTCAGCTTCAGTGCTGGAGCGGGAAATAGTAGGTTGTTTCCGAGCAGACTACGAGATCAAGTTATTCCCCAAGAATACAGCAAATCCACCAGTAGACCGGCGATCATCAACACAACCGGCCCAGTCAGCATCTGAGAATGCACTGACCAACATAGAGGAAGACCGCTTGATTTTGTGTCCAAAGGCAATAGTGCCTTTAACATACCGTAAGATTCTTTTAACAGCACTCCAATGGGTGGTTGTTGGAGCATGGAGGTATTGACAAACCTTGTTCACAGCAAAGGCAATATCGGGTCGTGTCAAAGTCAAGTATTGGAGTGCACCAACTACACTCCGGTAGCGAGTAGAATCTTTAGGTCCCAACAACACACCATCAGTTAGACGTAACTGTCCGTGGTAGATAGGGGGGTGTCAACGGATTTGGCCTTGTCCATCCCTGTACGGGCCAGGATATCAGTGGCGTACTGTGACTGGGACAGCAGAAGCCCATCAGAAGACCTTGTAACCTCAATGCCCAAGAAAAAATGAAGAGGACCAAGATCCTTGAGTGCAAAATCCTGTTGCAAATCTCTGAGAAGAGCATCGGTAGCTTGCTGAGATGAACTAACCACTATAATGTCATCAACATAGACAAGAACAAATATAACATAATCCCCTCGGATGAAATAAAAAAGAGATGTATCGGCTTTGGAGGCAGTAAATCCAAGCACTTCTAGTCTCTTGCAGAGCCTTGCATACCATGCCCGTGGAGCCTGTTTCAAACCATAGAGAGCTTTATCAAGTTTACAAACGTAAGTGGGATGACAGGCGTCTGCATACCCTGGGGGCTGATTCATATACACATCCTCTTCTAGAACCCCATGAAGAAAAGCATTTTGAACATCTAATTGACGAAGCGTCCATCCCTTTGACACAACAATAGAGAGAACAAGTCAGATAGTAGCTGCCTTGACCACAGGACTAAACGTTTCTTCATAATCAACACCGTACTGTTGTTTAAAGCCTTTGGCAACAAGACGAGCCTTGTACCTATCAATGGACCCATCAGCTTTGCGCTTGACCTTATAAACCCATTTACAGCCAACAATATTCTTGCCCTTCGGTCTTGGAACAAGATGCCACGTCTTGTTCCGAAGTAAAGCTTGATACTCATGATCCATGGCTGCTGACCACTCCTTGCTTGCGAGTGCTTGAGCAAGATTTGTTGGTTCACCTGGAGACACTGCAGTGTGCATACCATAGCGGACAGTTCCATCAGAGTATTGTTTGGGTTTAGATATACCGTGGGAGAGGCGTGTTGTTGGCCGAGTAGAGGATGGCTGCACCGGAGCAGTCGCAGAAGATCCAGGAGCCACGATCCCGGATGTCCCATCTGTCGGGACCGATGGAGAGACCGCCGGATCAGGTTGCGCAGCGGATGATGTAGGATTAGCAGCAGCGGGTGGTGAGCTTGGCGCAGAGGATCCTGGGTCTGACGATGCAGCGACATTTGCAGGAGACAGCGACACACCCGAGTCCGTTGGTGCGCCAGATCCCGAGTTGATGCTGCAGCAGGCTCGACAGATGCTGACGGCACACCAGGGAGATCGTCCTCGATGTCCGGGATGCACCCCGATGGGGAACACATGAAATGTGGGTGCTGGGCCACCGTGGATGCACCGTTTGGATCCGAAGTTTCACCTGTAATAAACGGAGAGCCAGAAGAACTTGATACGCCATTAGTGTTAGTAGGAGAAAGCATAGACTGGTCAAGCAAATTTTGTTCCCCACTACTAGACAAAGGGTTGCAAAGCATATCGGGTAGAAGTTCAATCTCTTTGCAAAGCAAAGCGCCTGCATTAGGGTGAAGTGCCGCGAAGGGAAACACAGTCTCGTCAAAGGTGACGTCACGTGAGATGTAAACTCGTCCAGTTTTTGGATCAAGGCACTTGTAGCCTTTGTGGAGAGTGCTATAGCCAATGAACACGCATTGTTTAGAGCGGAATTCTAATTTTCGTGAATTGTAAGGCCGAAGATTAGGCCATACGGCGCAACCAAAGACACGAAGAAAATTATAATCTGGCTTTTGACCATGGAGACGCTCAAATGGTGAGGTGTGGGCGATGACTTTAGAAGGTAGACGATTAATAAGAAAAGTGGTAGTGGTAAAAGCCTCGTCCCAGAATTTTAGGGGCATGGAGGCATGAGCTAGGAGAGTAAGTCCCATTTCAACAATGTGACGATGCTTGCGTTCGGCCGACCCATTCTGTTGGTGGGCATGAGGGCAGGAAACATGATGAACAATCCCAATACGCTTAAAGAAGGAATTAAGCGCTTGATACTCACCCCCCAGTCGGTTTGGACAACCTTGATTTTCCGCTCAAACTGTCGTTCAACAAGGGTTTGAAATTCATGAAAAATATTAAAAACCTCAGATTTGTGACGCAGCATATAAACCCAAGTGAATTTGCTATGATCATCTATGAAACTGACATAATATTTGTAACGACCAACAGAAGCGGGAGCAGGGCCCCATACATCGGAGAAAACAAGATCCATAGGACTGTCTGACACACTAGTTGATGTAGGATACGGTAGCTGGTGGCTCTTGCCTTGTTGGCAAGCGTCACAGACTCGATGTTTATTGGGATCACGCAAAACAGGTAAACTATTGCGACTGAGGATCTGTTGAACGACACGGGACGATGCATGCCCTAGACGATGATGCCAAACCGACTTGGAAGGCTTGGTGACACCCAAAGCTTGTTTATTCGATGATGAGGAAGACGCATGCAGGGGATAGAGTCTTCCTTCACATTTGCCGCTGTGAAGAATTTTCTTCGTCGCCTGTTCCTTGATAAGAAAATGATTGGGGTGAAATTCAAGGAAAACGTTGTTATCTTTGGCTAGGTGATTAACAGAACAAAGGTTCTTTGTAGCTTGCGGCACATGTAGAATATTTTTAAGATGAAAATTGCGTAATGGGGAAGAAAAAATGCTATGACCAATATTAGCAATCTCCATACCTGCCCCATCAGCCGCATGCACTTGTTGATCGCCATGGTACTTGTTCCGCATGGTCAGGCGCTCCAATTCGCTAGTGATGTGATCAGTGGCGCCTGAGTCCGTATACCAATTCGTATCCATAGCATACGAGTTGGATGTGGAGGCCGACGACGCACTCTTCTGCGGTGGACCATTGAAGTTGCTGTCATACCTTTTGAAACACCGATGAGCGGGGTGGCCCTCCTTGCCACAGATCTGCCAAAATACGCCAGGTTGAAAATTGCGACCATGGCCGCTGTTGTTGCCTCCACCAGCGTTACCTCCTCGGCCACGATTATTACCACCTCGGCCAAAACCCCCTCGGCCAGTGCCACGATCGCAGGAATTGTTGGTGAAGGAGGAACCAGAGTTGCGACCGCCCCTGGCAGCGACATTGGCGGAGATATGAGATGGATCAGCATGGAGTCCCTTGCGTTGTTCATGGCTTACGAGTTGGGCATATAGCTTAGGAACAGTGATCGGTTCCACTCGTGCCGCGATTGCCGTGACAACCGACTCATACTCCTCACCCAGACCGGTGAGAATATAGGTGACGAGATCTTCATCTTCAAGCTTCTTGCCTGCCGAGGCCATGTCGTCGGCTAGGCCTTTCATCCTAACAAAGTAGTCAGCAATGGAAGACGTCCCCCGGGACGCCGTAGCAAGTGCCATGCGGGTGGAGATGATGCGGGCACGCGACTGGGAGGCGTGAAGACCCTGGATCGCCGCCCAGAGCTCAGCCGCAGTTGTTGCCGATGACACTTGCGCAAACACTTCCTTGGAAAGTGAGGAGAATAAGTAACTCAGCACTTGTTGATCTTGAACTACCCACGTCTCATGCGCGGGATTGGGCACAGGAGGCCCCTTCTTGCCAGTGGTTGGATCGGCTTCGCCTTCGAGGAAAGCTTCCGGCGGCGCAGCACCCGACTGAATATAGCCGGCAAGTTTTGCGCCTTTGAGGGTGGATGATACCTGGGCATACCACATGTTGTAGTTGCCCCGGGTCAGTTTTTCAGAGACAGGAGGGAGGAAGCCGAAGGCAAAGGCATTGAGCCCGGCGGCGGCAGCAGCGGAGCTTTGCGCCATGGAGGATCGGAGTTTTCCCGTCGGGGAGAAAAAAGCTCGATACCATATAAGATTTTGTGTGAACGAGATGACCCGTGCCCGGCCTCTCGGTTGCGTGTTTATAGTAACAGGGAAGAGCCCCCTGTGTGGCTTACAATGAATCTATTGTTACAACAAATACTCCACAATTCTCTCAACTTTCTATACTATCAATATACATAACAGGAAACCGAGATATCCTCTAATAGACCCAGGCTCCTGCGCACGGCAGACGACGGCGCGGAGGCAGAGCAGCGAGAAGACGAGGAGGCAGCCTAGTAGAGGTGACAGAGCAGAGCGACCACGTCCACGTCCACGTCCACCGCTGCATGCAGCAGGTGCCATGACCACTGCGCTCTATCCCCGCCACGTCAGCAAAAACCTTGATCCGATGAGTTATAGACCTAAGTGGCATACTTAAACAACATTAGGGTGCCATAAGTACGATTAGAGAGTTTGTGGACCTAAGTGGCATCACGAGACAAGTTCAAGGGCCTACGATGCATATACCTCGAGTATAAATAACAGCTAACACACACGACAAATTTGAAATACTTTGACTCTACAAGAAATTGAAATGACTTATAATTTGGAACGAAGAAAGTATAAATGAAAGCCCATTTTTTTTTTGTTTTCTAATCTAATAATAACTAGCTAACACACACAGACAGTAGCTAAAATGTATAGCCTGTATTTTACTGATGCCCATATCTTCGTCCAACACTGCTGTCGGTAAAGTCGCAGAGCCAGTTTTTTAGTTGTTTGAGGCTGCAGTTGCCGTGGCTTGGGGCTGCCACCGTTTAGCGAATTCGACCAGCCTGTCGACGTCTGGCAGCACCGCCTTGGCCGCTTCAAGCGCGCCAAGCCGCTCCACCCACGCATTCAGTAGCGGGGTCCTTGCGCCATCAAAGAGGCTCGTCCCGTCCAGTTTCTTGGCGGCGTGCACCCACGCAACCAGGCCCCCCAGCGTGACCTCCAAGTACCCAACGCTGTCACCGCCGAAGAAGGGCTTGCCCTCTGAGATCTCCTTGAACGCCGCCTCCAGGTTCTCAGCGGCGACGAGCGTCTGCTTCAGCCCCTCCGTCCTTTCCTCCGGTGTCTTGGCCCTTGTCAACTGCAACCACGAGGCTAGGAGCTGCAAACAAGAAACAACACACATCCATCACCATCAATATGCATCGGCCGGCATCACCGGCATCCGTCGTTGAAGAATACAAATACAAGGCGATCGACAAAGTCGCCAGCAGCATATGTGCATGAGCTCGTGTGGTACTAGTGGAGAGTAGTACCTTGTCATCAACGTAGGCACTCCAGAAGCGAGCAAGGGCGCGCTGGTACGGGTCGGTTGGGAGGAGGGACGGGCCAGTGCCGGCGAAGGCCTCGTCGATATACTGCACGATGATCTGCGATTCGCATACGGGCTTACCGTCGTGGAGGAGCACGGGAAACTTCTTGTGCACCGGGTTGGACTTGAGGAGCAGCTCGCTCTTGCCGACGGAGTGGTCCTCCTCGACGTCCGCGTAGCTCAGGCCCTTGAAGCTGAGCGCGAGCTTCACCCGCAGTACGATTGTACGAATGGGCTCACCCACGCCCCCAGCAGCTTGAGTTCACCGTCACCTCCTCCGGCCATTGTGCTCGCTCTTTTGTGCTGCGGTGTTAGGTGGAGCAAGAGAGAAAGTGGATGTATGTAGTGCTTTGGTGGCTGGCTGGGTGCTTTCAACGTCACCTCCTACGTATTGAACTATTGATCGAATCTCATCTGGACGGACGTGACAATGCTGGACGATACGGTGGCTACTCTAGTCTTTTGTTGATTTTTGGGGCGTTGCAAGTATAGGAGATGATAGCAAACAACGTTGGAATTTGGAAATGTAGACGTTCAACTCTTCTTGGAGATGAAGCCTAGGAAGTAAACGTCTCATGTCCCTGTCCACACTGACAGGCTGGTACCGTACCACTCGCCGGTCTTGGCCTGGCCCAAGCTGTGAAAATTTTCCTTGAGTACAAGCTTAGAAAGTGGTAAACAAAACCATATAGTAAACAAAACGTACGTAGAGGCAGTACAAACTCCTACGGTGTATTAAGTCTCAAAAAAAAAATCCTACGGTGTATTTGATTTTCCCTTGTTACCCAGATATCAAAATATTTGTCGGTATTGACCGCCTCAATACCGCAGCGCGTTCCGTTCAGTTGTTTCCGGCAGGAGCTGCAACCTCGGCCTCCCTGACCATGGCGTGCTCTACAAACCGGTCGATGTCAGGCATGACCGCCACGACCTCATCCAGCTTGCGGAAGCGCTCCACCCACTTCTCCAGCAGCGGGCTCCTGGAGGCGTCGAAGAGCCTGAGACCATGACGCACCTCGGCGGTGTGCATCCACACTAGCAGGGTCCCGAGCGCGATGTCCAGGTAGCCGACGCTGTCGCCTCCGAAGAAGGGCTTTCCCTTGGAGCACTCCTTGAACGCCCCTTCCAAGGTTTCTACGGCCGCGAACGTCAGTTTCAACCCTTCCGCCCTCTCCTCCTCCGTCTTGCCCCTGCCTGCCTTTAACCACGACGCCATGAACTGAAACACACACGCGCGCGCACATCGATCAGCATACTAATTTCTTGCAAATACTGGATTATTTGGGGGTACGGCACGGTACTGACCTTTTCGTCAATGAAGGAGGCCCAGAAGCGCGCCATGGCGCGTTCGTAAGGGTCGGCGGGGAGGAAGGAGGGGCCTGTAAAGACATGAAAACTGTTTAATAATCACTTAAATTTAAGTACTTCTCTGGGTAATTATGCTGGCAATTGAACACATATTACAGGGATGGAGGTCCCCAGCTGATTAAGGTATTTTTTTTATTTTTTCCATTTCAATGGAAATTCAAATTTTTGGGGAAGTTATTTTGTTCCCCAAATTTTCAAATCTAAGAGTTACATGTGTAAACTGGGTTAGTTTAGTTCTTTTACTGGAATCATTTACTAACAATAGAGAGAACACGATCATGACGTGATACAGTGATACTTTAATTTAGATGGAGGCAGATAACTCTCTTATTTCTGAGCAAAGAATGGTCAAACAAGGCGAGCTCATTCAGGACGGAAGATAATAAGGCTTTCAGTTTCAGACTTGGCAAGGTTGTTGGGTTGGGTGCAGTGTAGTGTACGTGGCGTAACACAGTATGCAAATCACCAAGCTGCGTGTATTATTTCTTGAGATGCTCGGAAGTCGGAACCTCCCTGCTTTCCTATTATCCATCGCTGTTACTGCGGATACAGAGGATGAGCACCGATCAGTTCGGAGATGATGTGGATGAGTACCACGAACGTACCACGCAAGGCGCAAAGCATGCGTCGTGACTTCTAAGCACGAGGAGAGGTGCCGGTGACGAAGCGGATGGAATGCTCGATGGACAGACGACCACGACAGCCAAGAACGCTATGACATTATTTTTGGCGACCAGCTCAACTCCGTGCATGCTAAGGCAATGCGACAGCTCTTTCCTGCCTCACAAGGAGGGCGGGCGAGGCGCCACACAAGCCAGCGTGTCTGACCGCCGATGTTGGTTAGGTAGCATGATTAGTGAGTAATAGCCCATGATATCCTTCCGCTAGGATGGACAGAGCCGATTGTATAACACTAACCCTAGTGTGCATTGTTCGTGGCGTGTCGTTGTAACTTTCAATGTTTCTCGATCTTAATACAAAAGATGCGCAAACATTTTGCGTATTCGGAGAAAAAACCCTACCACGAACATACAAACTGCATGTGCCAGGTCCCAACTGCTAGGAGACGACATAAAATGGCAAGAATGCGACGTAGACAGACCCTAATCTTCTTTATTTCTCATCGCTGACACAGACACGAAATTCTTATATTCTTCAGAGATATCTTAATCTTTCTCCGACCCAAAGACCAAAGTTGGTAACGTCGCAGAGACAATTTATTAGTTGTTCGATGAGGCAGCAGCAGCCTCAGCCTGCTTCATCTTGGCGTAATCGACCAGCCTGTCGGCGTCCGGCAGCACCGCCTTGGCGGCGTCGAGCGCGCCGAACCGCTCCAACCACGCGTTCAGTAGCGGGCTCCTCGCGGCGTCGAAGAGCCTGAAACAATAGAGCTTCTCGCCGGCGTACACCCACGAGACCAGGCTGCCTAGCGCGACGTCCATGTACCCAACGCTGTCGCCGCCGAAGAAGGGCTTATTACCCTTGGAGCACCCCTTGAAGGCTGCCTCCAGTTGGTCCACCGCCGCAAGCGTCTGCTTCAGCCCCTCCGCCTTCTCCTCCTCCGTCTTGCCCCCGAATGACTGCAGCCACGAGGACAGGAGCTGCAACGGCACGGCACACAATCCGTGTCATATCTTGGGAGGGAAACATATGCAAGAAGGCATGACGCGCTGCATGGTCTACCTTGTCATCGACATAGGCGGCCCAGAAGCGAGCAATAGCACGTTCGTATGGGTCGGCAGGAAGGAGGGAGGGACCGGTGCTTTTGAAGGCCTCTTCGATGTACTGCACGATGATCTGTGACTCGCAGATGGGCTTGCCGTTGTGGATGAGCACGGGAACCTTCTTGTGCACCGGGTTGGAGCTGAGGAGGAGGTTGCTCTTGCTTTGGAGGTCCTCCGCGATGTACTCGTAGCTCAGGCCCTTGAAGCTGAGTGCGAGCTTCACTCTAAGGGCAAATGGGCTCGCCAAGCTGCCGAGCAGCTTCAGCTCATCACCACCTCCACCTCCACCTCCGGCTCCGGCCATTTTCTACTCCTTGTTCTGGCTCTTTTTACCTTGTGTTCCTCTGTGTGCTGTGCTCTTGAGACATGCCTATATATATACATGCCGCTTGGGCCGAAAAAGGGATAGGAAAATTGGTTCTATCTCTGCTTCTGTAAAATACCATTGAAAGGTGTTCGTCACGTAAAATACCACTGAAAGACATCACTGCTACCTCTATTTAGCATTCCATCACAGTGGCACACTGACGTCGTGAAATCCACCTCCAGAGTCTAGACGCCTAAAAGAAAAAAAAAAACGCTTGGTCCTGCTCCTCCCGGCCTCCTGGGTTCGATGTGGAGTGCCAGCACCTGCTCATGCTCCTCCTCGCTGCCGGCGGCGGAAGCTAGGTGGATTTCCAAAGTTTCGTCGCCAGGTCACGCGAGATGGCCGCGACCACGAGGAGCATGGCAAGCGACTTGTCTCGTCGTCTGGGTCGGCGTCCTCACGCTCGAAGCAGCCCGCACGGTGGCGTCAGCCTGAGCGGCGAGGCAAGGTGTGCGAAGGGAGGTAGCCTCGCTGCTGTCGGTGGAGGCCAAGCTGAAGTCGTCGCCACTTGCCGAGCGCACGTGAGGTGGCCTTGAGGAGCGTGGCGAACGTGGTTGGCCTCGCGTTCGAGGCTGCCCACGCGGTGGCGTTGTCCTAGAGCTCGGAGCGCATGCCGGGAGGAAGAGCTTGCGCCCATGGCGATGAGCACCAGCACGCTGTTGGCATGGTCCAGGCCCTGACACTCCACCTCCCCGACGCTCTCTTTTGTTCCATGGCAGTTCTCTGTAGTCCGTGAGTCCATCTCGGAACTCCGCTGTCCTATCTGTTAGCTTCAACTAACTCGAGAACGAACGAGCTCGCAATAACTGAGAAGATCACAGCGTGAACAGTAGAGATTTTTGGTGTTGCTCAAGAAGCGCAATGTTTATGATGCTCTTATTTGTAGCTCGATCCTGTACAAGAGTGAAAGTTCATTACGGCTCCACTAACATGAGCACCTGACTCTAATATCCTGAAGACTTGGACTCGATCACAATACATGATTACACGACGCTTGCTAACATGCTAACTGACTAAACTGAAACACCTGAAACTAAAGACTTGCACTGACCAAACTAACACCACAGCTAGGATTACATCCTTTACTGTCCGTTGGTAGACTGGCAGGGCTTTGTGCCCGGTGGCTTCGTCGTGCACTCGTGCGCCCCCACGCAGCCGTGCTGTGGAGCTCGCGCCGGGCGGCTGCATCGCCCGCACACGGCCGGTGCTCGCTCCCGAAAAAGCCTGCGCGCTGCAGACGGCTGGCGCTTACACTCGGCGGAGCACGCGTGCTGCAGAGCTCGTGCCCCGTGGTCTGCGGCTGAAGGCCCACGCACATAGAAGCTCGTCCATGTCCATGGCCGCGGTAGCAGCAGCCCACAGGCACATCGAAGCACCACCGCCCCACCCCCGTCCACGATTCACACCTAGCTCTTAGAGCCTCGCGCCGTCGATTTCCTCTTCGAGCTTCGCGGCGTCGCCACTTGTGGTAAGCTTCAGGACCCTGACGCTAGCGCCACTCGCAGCAAGAATGAGAGGGAGTTGTATAACAGAGCTCAGTATGGGATGAAAGGAGGACGGAGCAATCACGGTGTGATCTCCAAATGTGACAGAATGCTAGATCTAGTTAACGGGATATCCTTTCAGTGCTATTTTAAGTGACGGATATCTTTCGATGGCATTTTACGGAAGCGGAGTTCTTTTGGTGCTACAAAACCAATTTTCCCTTGAGAATATGACAACATGTTCTCTATCCCCTAATGTAGTTACGTTGAAAACTGAAATTTGACCAAAGAGGATCTCGTAAAGCAATGGTTGACTTCATTCTATTGCAAGAGTTACCTTTCAGTTTAGTTGATCATGACATCTTTTAGGAAATTCATCGCTACTCTAAACCCACTATTTAGAATAGTCTCTAGAACTGCGGTCACCGAGGACATTGTAAGATCATATGAGGAGCAAAGAATATCCCTTACTGAAGTTGTCAAAAACTCAGATTCAAAGGTTTGTCTAATAGTGGATATGTAGACATCAATACAAAATGTGGGTTACTTGTGTGTTACATGTCAGTTCATTGAAAATGATTCGAAATTCCAGGAAATAATTACAAGTTTTGGTCTTATTGTTTCTTCCCATGATAGATTTACAATGTTTAGTGTTTTATTGAAGAGCTTACAAGATTGGAAATTAGAGCGTGAGTTTTTTTAGTATCACATTAGCTAGACAATGCGAAGAACAATAACAAAATGGTTGTTTATTTGTGAGAAAATCTTTTAGAAAGACAGTGTGCATCACATGTTCTGAGTCTTATTATCCAAGATGGATTTATTATACTTGATAGTGTTAGTGGACATTCGAGACAGTGCGAAGTATATTAGAAGCTCACAAGCTCATAAGCAGTGATTTGAGGAGATCATTGCATAAATTGATATATCGTGTGAGAAGTGTCCTCTTGATATATAAACACGTTGGAATTCAACTTACTTAATACTGAAGTCTGCAATAGATTACAAGACAACATTTGAATGTTTGAATTCACATGATCTGAGTTACATTATAGATATACCATATGTTCTAGAATGGGTAATGACATATCTACTTTGTATCATATCCGAGATTTTCAATGCTGACACAAATGCAGTTTCAGGTTCATTGTTCCCAACATCAAACCTCTATTCCATGTCCTCTAGAAGGTCAAAGAAAGGATAGTAAAGGAGGCTTCATATAAAGGTCCTTCCATTGTAGCTATGGTGGTTAAGATGAAAGAGGAGTTTCAGAAGTATTGGGACCCATCTTTGCTGCAAATTTGTGTTCCAATTGTATCCTAGGTTCAAGTTCAATTTTGTAGCGTTTCTATTGGATGTTGGTTTTGGTGATAAAGGTCCCATATGTACTGAAAAAGTGAAGACAACAATGAAGGATTTGTTCTCTACATATTCACCAATGTTGCTTGATGTCACCAACAATTCTCAGTCAAGACGAACTGATGAGATTGCTTATGACAAAGATGACTAGACAAAAAGGGAACAACACCTTACACAACAAAAAAGGAGCAAATTGAAAAATGATCTTGATGTGTATTATCAAAGAGCTTTAAAAAATTCTCAGCCAAGACAAAATGATCTTTTCCCTCGATAAAAGAGCTTTGATGTTTTACAATGGCGGATGATGCATCCTACTAAATACCCTAATTTCACGCATGGCAAGAGATGTACTTCCTGCAGCTGCTTCAACTGTAGCATCAGAATTAAGCTGCATTCTCTACTACTTGGAGAATTGTTAGTGAGTACCGGAAAGAATGTAGAAGCCTTGTCATGTCTCCAAGATGGGTTTAGAGCCAAAAGGTGTGTTTTCTATATGGCAACGTATCAGATGTAAACTAACTAACCTGTGCATACTTGGAAACTACTAATCATGACCACTAGATGCTGATCCAATGAATGGGTTGAGAGGTGGGATTTTTTTGCGCTTAAGCCCCCCACCCACCGTCCTTTTTTTTTTTGCGCTTAAGCCCTCTCACCCCATCCATTGAATCAGCATCCAGTGGTCCTGATTGTTAGTTTTCAATTTTACACAGATTGGTTGGTTTGCACCTGATATATTGCCTTTCTATAAACTGTGCTTAACTGACCCTTCTGGTTCAGCCAGCAACAGCAAAACTAACTATATAGCACAAATTAAGAAACTAATAGACATTTATGCTCATTGCTACCTGTTATCTCAGGATATAACAACTTCAAGACTACAGATGACATAGGTGATGGTGATGATCAGTTAGAATAAGACCTAATATGTATATGGACTAGCTAGCTACTTTAGCCTAGATCTAATGACCCCCGATCGACTCTCCGAATGTATAGGAAGAAAAAAAAGGGATTAGAGCATCTCCAGCAGCACTACCTAATAGACCACCTATGTAACAGATAGGCGCCTAAAAATTAGTTCGATGGTTTCTGCCCCTTCGTGAATGCCTTCGTCACTACCTCCCCTACCACCACAACGTTTGCCGCCACCGCACGCCTCCACCGCAGCCGGATCTAGGTGCGCCGGCCTAGCCGCACCTCCACAGCTGCCGCTGACACTTATCCACCCCATGAGACACCTCCCCTCTGCGGGACTGCCAACCGCCGGTGGCCCCTTCTCCACCGTCGGTGCCTCCATGTCCAACGAGCCTAGATGCGACTGGCCCTCGCTGGCTCCTCCTCAACGCCCGCTAGAGCTCCCTCCCTGTTGGCCCTTGTCATTGTGGTCTCTTCACACATAGCTTAGTTGATAGAGCAAGGAAGAAGAATTGGAGAATGGAAAGTGGGTCCCACATGATAGTGTCTATTAAGATAAATTTGATAGTCATGTGAAAACAAGCTCTTTAAAAGTAGGTGGCTACTCAAATAGAAAAATAGGGATCAAGTTTTAGGTAGTAGTGTTGGAGATGCTTTTATGTTGTTGGAATATGAGAGATCTCGAAAATGATTGGAAGAGCCTAAGAATTCCTACGTTTTCATTTTTGCAGCTATCCGTCTGATTAATTCAGCTTTCAAATATATATATATATATATATATATATATATATATATATATATATATATATATATATATATATATATATATATATCTCAACGATCCACCGCTCGGTAGCCTACGATTATTTTTTGTCTACCTGTTTTTTCCCGTGTCTGCTCGGAGTTTTTTTCTTTTCTATTTCGGTCGGATTACCTTTTCTGTTCATTGTTTCATGACGTACCCATTCAGGTTTGTTTTCCGCGTTTGCTCTGTTTCTTTCTGTTCGGCGTTTGTTTCCTGTTCCCATTCTGTTTTTTTCATTTTTTTTCTTTTCTCATTCTTTTTTTCATATTTTTTTGGAGGAATATCTTGAGTCTGTTTCTTCGTGTCCTTTTTGTGACTCTTTTCTGTAATTTTTACTGGATCATCTCCAATAATATAATACAATATTATCAGTCGTTCATGGGCTCCCAATGCGACAGACACGTGGGCCCACTAGGCCGAGGGTGCAGGTGCGTGGGTCACACTTTTTATCTTTTATTCACTTTTTAGAGGCGTGTTAATTTATGATCTTCTCTATAAATCAATTTCAAGGACAGGTGGACACCTTCATCTAGGCATCATGGATTTTTAGAGACAAACGCATAGAGGCGGTTACTATAGCCATCTCTAAGGGGGCATTTTGACCGCCTCTAATAAAAAGCACCTATGTATTAGAGCAACTCCAAAACCTCTTTATAACGTTTCTTACTAATAGGAATGAAGATTATAGTGAAAAATATCCTACAAAGGTTTCTTTTATTAGGTCTCCAATTATTGCCATCCTCTATTTCGGATTTCTCGATAGTCCAAGATAGAGAGCGGGGTTTGTTCTCTATAGTGTGCACAAGATATACAAAAATATTGGAAGATGGAAAGATATTAAACGTTTTTAATCAAATAGCTCTTCAAATGATGAATTAGAGAGTGAGTTTAAGAAATGTGGGATATTCACTTCATCTAAAAGAGAATGTAATTCTAGGTCTGTCCTGAGTTAAATTAACTTATTTATACAAATAATTAATAATATTTATGACACCAAATATTTATTATTAAATTTAAATTATGTAATATATGTTCTTAGTATATCTATTCGAAGTCATAAATATTTCTATCCCTTCTATTTTTTATAAATATAGTTAAATTTAAGATAGTTGACTTACCTGGAAATTTACTTTTTTTGAGGAGGAAGCAGTACAATATTGTGTGTAGTCATGATTCATGATAAGTCATGGTTACATGGATGATGGATCAACATTCCGATGTCAACTATTGATTCTTACTAGCAAATATGTCCGTGCATTACAACGGGAAAGAAAAAGCTATCAAACATTCATAAAAAAAAGGCTATCAAACATTCATAGAAAATGAGGGCCAAGATAATACTTACCTATTTATGTTTTATCCTTCTATAAATTTTTAAAACTATAGTTTATTTTAAGAAGACTACAACATCCATACTATTTAAGCTAATGTTGGCAATACATGATGTCTTATTAAGTATGTATCAGATTAAAATACAATCTTGATAGATTTTTTCTTCTATTGCAAAGCACAAACATATTTACTTTTAAATATATCATAATTTTAATTTCATACTATCTATTCGTTGGTACAGTTCAATATCGAGTTCGGATGACTTTCTTTCTGAACCCATAAAATTTTGTAATTCTATTTTTGATTATATATATAGTCAGTAAGGAGTTAGTTGCCGACGTATCAAGGATTGCCATATCTGTTGATGATTACAATAGAAGAACTCTCCTAATTTTCCACATAGTAGCCCCCGTCATATCTTTCACCGGTACACGCATAAAGTTTAGAGTCACATTTGTCTAGACTAAACTGGACAACAAACTGCTCAAGATTTCATGTTACGATTTGATTAATTATATTGGACCATTGACTATATCATATTGTAATAAGAAAAATTGTTTTAGTTTAAAACTACATCAATGATTTACCACATCAATAATTTAGTGGTGAAATTATCTATTTTATTAAGAAAGAGGTCTAATTGCTCAACTACCACAATATTTGTTTATTAGTAGTTTTTATATTTATGGTGAAAATAAGAAAAAGGGTAAATAAAAATGGAAAAAGAATATAACCAAAGAGGCTCGGTGCTTGATTTTTTTCCATCCCCATCGAGCTTCCCTGTGTTTTGCGGTCCCTGACCTGAATTCAAAATCTGATTTTAAATATTTTATTTTGGAATTGAGTTCTGTTTATTTACAAGAATGCCAATATCTTCATTATGCCATATCTTCTCCGTTTTAACTCCGATTTGACCCGTTCAATTTGTGTTAGGTTCGTAATTCCATAATCTACATATTCATACTACTGTTAGATATGTTTTGAACTTTTAAAATTCGAGGTTAGATGTAATCTATTATTTTATTAAAGAAAATCTTGTTTAATTCATATCTTCTACGTTTTAGCTCTGATTTGACCTGTTTAAGTTGCGCTAGATTCATTACAACGAGATCTACGCGTTAGTAACAATATTTATCATGTCACTATTTCTGAAATTTCATAGTTTAAACTCTAATTTAAATAATAATTATGCAATGGGATTTTATAAATAAAATATGATTTTTTTACTTTAGTATTATAATTCAAACCTAAATTTGACTTAATTCAATTTATATTATCTATAAAATATCTTATATACGTTTTTATATAATTAAAACACATGAAGCTAATAGTTTTGTATTTTCTTTTATAAGTAGATCTCTTGGTAGTTGTATCTTTTCAACCATAGCTCCGATTAGCGTGCTTTTCGCGTCAGTGTGTTCGTAGCAATACGTAGATTTGTTTCAAATCCCTTTTCACTTATTGGTGTATTGTTTTAATTCTTTATTATTGTTGCTTCGTGTATGATTGCATGGATGCTTGTGTGGTGTTCTATGATCTTGTCTAGTCGGTGAGTTTTACGTGGTGATCAAGAAGCAGTTCTTTGGATGTTACGAATCAACAGAAGATGGATCTAAGTTTAAGGCAAGTATAGCATGGGATCATCCTTATTATCCTATACACCTTTAATCATTTAATTCATGCTGCATGTGTCTATCTTGATTCCTATGGGTTATTGCATTGGATAGTATGATGCTAGTGCTCAACAAAAGCCATGACTTTATAACTTGACTAATGTAATATGCAATAAACACTAAAAGATACTTTTTAGCAACATAAAACAAGGGGGCTAGAGCATTGGGCTATTTTATGGTGCTCTAGATTCCTCTCCCTAAGGACTTATCTGTAAGCGAGCATCTGGGACTTACAATATAGCTATGAGGGCTACATGGCTCTGGCTTTAGCTCAGTATGAGGATCTTTTCTAGCTTGTTAGTGGTTACCTTTTTTGACGTAAGAATGGCTTGCCGAATTAGGTATAGTGCGGCCTCTGTCCCCTTGTGTATAGGCTATGCGTCATTGTGCCATCGGGAAGGGGGGGCTCTACATCTGTTTGCCGAGTGAATCTAATGGCCCTGACTTGTTAGATGAACCTTTAAAAGGCTTCATAGTGAATCCTACCGATCTTCCTTGGTAGTGGATCAAGAGGCTGATCACCTCGGGCGAAAGGGTAAATCACGACTCACAGTGAAAGTGTACAACCTCTGCAGAGTGTAAAACTGGTATATCAACCGTGCTCATGGTCACGAGCGGCCTTGGAACATTTATGGAATAGATGATGAACACTGATGATACGGATGATAAAGATGATCATTAATGGTTAATTATTTATGCTATTCATTATTCATGTTTACCTGATCATGTGTTTACATGGGCTTGTGGATAAATTTGTTGCTACCCAATTGTTAAAATTGTGATCATTAAAAGCTAATCGCAGTTAACCAGTGTCAACCTTTTGAGCCTCATTAACCTCATGTTATATTTATTGAGTACGACATGTACTTACGCTTGCTTTACTTTTCAAATATTTGGATAAAAATCCCGGATGGGTACCAGATTGCTAGAGTTTGGAGGAATTAGACCTAGAGTTTGGAGGAATTAGGCTTGTGATCAACCAGTCGGTTGTCCCTGTGGAAGTGGAGTCTTCACCCGAAGATCGGAGTTGTCTTTTCGCTGTTTGCTATCTAAGGTTATATTCTTTATACTAAGTACGTTATATATTGAGCATTGTCTATTGATATTACCCTCATTTGTAGCTATATGTGAGATTGACTTCCTGGACTCACATAGGGTGTATATCTGATTTTGTTCTTACAACCGGGTGCTACATTTCCCCTCCACCTCCAAATGCGGCGGCGGGCGGCCGATCTGGCGGCAAGAGGCTGGATCTCGGTGGTGCTCGCGCTGCGCGGCTCCCGATAGCCGGATCCAGTGATGGCGGCCACAGATCCAGCGAGCGTCGGTGGCGGCGTGTGGATGGGCTCAGCGAACAGGTGGATGGGCTTGTTGGGCTCGTCGATGGATTTTTCTTTTTTTTGATTGATTTACGGAGACGAGCAAAGCAACCGTCTCCGTAGGTCTGGATTAACCAAGATCCGCCTCCGTAGGTCTGGATTAACCGAGATCTTTGATAGAGCCGGTTGCACTGCCTGCCTCTGTAAATTATTTTCGTCCGCCTCGTAGCGAACACAGATCGACAAAATTGTGTCAGATGACTTTAGAATGTGAAGCATTGAGTAGTACTGTACAGCATGGTACTCTGACGGAGGCAATGACATCACTGCGACGCCACGATTCTTGCAACAGTCAGATGAATCCGTGGAGGCGTCGACTCCAAGGCTTGTGAGGGGTCATCGATCTCGACAGCTCCGGTTTGCAATGCTGGCCATATTCCACGTACAAGTAGTCAACCGTTGAATTTGAAGAGTAAGCGGTGGATTTTATGCGACTTGTGCCCCGTAGTAACGGGTCGTCACGCACGCACGGCGCTCAGTCGTCGATAGGATTCGAGCTCTGAATAATCCACGCATCTGTCATATCCCCTAGATCTGACCATGGAGGAAATCTTCCACAAACGGTAGAAGATTATTCACCCGATATCAGGCTATCAGCTCCTTGCCGGCCACGATAAAGAGCCCATCGAAGCACTCTAGAGCTCCAACCCCAAGTCCCCAACTTTCAGAATCACAAAGAAGCAAACACACCTTTCTAGTTTTGTGGTAGGACAGGAGACTGTATAGTAAGGGATGGCGAGAGACGGTGGTGAGCTTAAGCTGCTGGGGATGTGGGCGAGCCCGTTCGTCGCCAGAGCGAAGCTCGCGCTCCAGATCAAGGGCCTAAGCTACGAGTACGTCGAAGAGGATCTCGGCAACAAGAGCGAGCTCCTGCTCAGCTCCAACCCGGTGCACAAGTTGGTCCCAGTGCTGATCCACAACGGGAAGCCGGTCTGCGAGTCGTCCGTCATCGTGCAATACATCGACGACGCTTTCGCCGGCACCGGTCCGTCCCTCCTCCCCGCCGACCCCTACCAGCGCGCCGTTGCTCGCTTCTGGGCCGCCTACCTCGAAGACAAGGTAACCTGTCCTGTCCACTCCACTCTTGTTGTGTTTTTTTTTATCTAGAAGAACATTTAGTTACGGTGCTGAATTAACTGCGCTTACGCCGCATGCGCAGATTTTGACGCCGTGGAGGCGGGTGTTCATGGTCAAGACCGACGAGGAGAAGGCCGAGGCGATGAGGCAGACGATCGCAGCGGTGGACGTGCTGGAGGAAGGCCTCAAGGAGTGCTCTGGGGGCCAGGGCCCCTTCTTCGGCGGCGACAGCGTCGGGTACGTGGACGTCCTTCTTGGTGGCATGGTGTCATGGGTCAAGGCATCCGAGCCGCTCTCCGGCCCCAAGCTCATCGACGCAGCCAAGACGCCGCTCCTGGCCGCGTGGATGGAGCGTTTCAGTGACCTCGACGCGGCCAAGGCGGTCCTGCAGGACGTCGATGCGGTGGTCGAGTACGTCAGGGCGGTGCAGGCACGGGTTGCCGCCGCAACTGCAAACAGTCAGTAGTGGAAACACGGTGGAACCCGGCATGGCGACGTGATTCCCATTACTAGGTTCGTGAAAGCTACGGAGACGAGTCATTTATGCGGATCTGTGCTTAGTCAAATTCAATGTTCCTATGGTGGTTGTCTGCATCAGCTGATCGATGTAGTAATAATAGTCGTGTAGGGATGAAAGTGGTTACCAACCCGGACGTCGGTTCCTGGACGCTAGCATCGGACGGCTGCCGCGCATAAGAAGCAACAAGGCTTTCGAGCAGCCCACCCCCGTCCGTCGCACCGCCCCTCACGCATACGCCACCTCCGTCCGTGCGACCTCACTCACCACGCCCCGTGACTATGAACAACATCAAACACTTGCAACATGAAATATTTGAATACAACATACATATGAAATAGATAAAACATATATACACTTGTAATATATGTGTGAAACATATGCAACATCCAGATAAAACACTTGTAACTTGTTGCAACATGAAAACACTTGCTGCAACATAAGGCTAAAAACAGATAAAATATTTTGATCAAATGCTTCCAACATATCTTTAAAACACTTGTAACATGTGCAACATTGAAAGGTCCTAATATGACTAGAGGGGGGTGAATAGTCTATTTAAAAATCTACAAACCAAGTAGAGCAATTTTGATTAATATAATAAATAGCGAAATGCAAACTTGCTCTAGCTCTACAAGGGTTGCAAGACACCTATCTAATAATTCTAGTTGCTATGATCACTAGACACACAATTTACTAAGTCACTACTCACTAAGAGCTCTCATATTTGCTACACTAAAGAGCTCCACTAGATGAACTTAAGCTACAAAGTAAACTCTCAATTCTAGCTATACTAAAGAGTTTACTACAACTAATTTGTGGGTATATAAATGAGTAGGTAAGATGATTATACCGCAGCGTAGAGGAGTGAATCAATTACAAGATGAATAGTAACTCAATCATCGGGAGAATACCAAAGGGTAAGAGACAACCAATTTTCTCTCGAGGTTCACGTGTTTGCCAACACGTTACGTTCCCGTTGTGTCGACCAACACTTAGTGGTTCGACGGCTGAGAGGTGTTACACGAACCTCGTCCACACAATTGGACATCACAAGAACCTACCCACAAGTGAGGTAACTCAATGACACGAGCAATCCACTACGGTTATCTTTCGGCGCTCCGCTGGAAAAGGCACAAGTCCTCTCACAATCACCGGAGATGGCCACGAACAATCACCAACTCGTGCCAATCCTCCTCAGCTGCACCAAGCCGTCTAGGTGGTGGCAACCACCAAGAGCAACAAGCGAATCCCATAGCTAAACACGAATACCAAGTGCCTCTAAATGCAATCACTTAAGCAATGCACTTGGATTATCTCCTAATCTCATAAAGATGATGAATTAATGATGGAGATGAGTAGGAGGACTTTAGCTAAGCTCACAAGGTTGCTATGTCAATACAAATGGACAAGAGAGTGAGCTTGAGCCGGCCATGGAGCTTAAATAGAAGTCCCCACAAAATAGAGCCGTTGGATCCTCAGTCAACTGAAAATCAGGGCAACCGGACGCGCTGGTTAGATCGATCGGACGCTGGACCCCAACGTCCGGTCGCGCGATGCATGCCACTTGGCACCTGCTTCAAACGATGATCGCCCGATCTCAACGGTCATCAGTACATTTAAGTTGTGACCGGACGCGCTGCTTCGAAGTGACCGGACGCAGGACCTCAGCGTCCGATCGTTTCCAGTAAGGTTCCATTCGTGACCGGACCCGACCGGACTCACCCAGCGTCCGATCACTCTCCCTCTTCTCTGTGCGCTGCCACATCAGCATGACCTGACGCTAAACAATGTTCAGCCAGAGTCCGGTCACTTTTGAACTCAACGTCAGGTCAAGAGACCGAGGGCGGACTTCACTGTGCGCCACTGCCCGGACGTAGGACCCTAGCGTCCGATCACTGCGTGACCAGCGTCCGGTGCACTCTGTGAAACCCTGTCTTTTCTGTACAGGGCGTCGGTGGCACCGTCGGACTGTCTACACTCTACGGGCGGACACTCCGCCGGTGAAGTTTCTTACTCTTGCTCCCAAGTGCTAAACACAATGTGTATCACCTTTGTGCATGTGTGCTAGCATATTTTCACAGATATTTTCAAGGGTGTTAGCACTCCACTAGATCCTAAATGCATATGCAATGAGTTAGAGCATCTTGTGGCACTTTGATAACCGCATTTCGAAACGAGTTTCAACTCTCTTAATAGTATGGCTATCGATTCTAAATGTGATCACACTCATTAAGTGTCTCGATCACTAGAACGAAAAAATCCTATCAAGTTTCACCTTTGCCTTAAGCTTTTCGTTTTTCTTTCTCCTTTTTCCATGTTCAAGCATTTGATCATCAACATGCCGCCATCATCATCATGTCATGATCTTCATTTGCTTCATCACTTGGAGTAGTGCTACCTATCTCATAATCACTTTGATAAACTAGGTTAGCACTAAGGGTTTCATTAATTCACCAAAACCAAACTAGAGCTTTCAAACATCCCGATCTACTTTTGCAACATCCATATGAAATATTTACAACATACCACTGAAACATCTGAAACACTTGAAACATATATTTGCAACATAGGGGAGGGGCCCGAGGCCAGTCGATTCCAGCTATCCAGGTGGGAGCCAGCGGCGAGTGGTGGCGTGCGAGAACAACCAGCATCGGCCGTGCTCGTGGGTGCCCTTGGCTCAGCCGAGGATGACCTGAGGTGCCCCGGCACGTGCGCCTAGCGGCCATCGGCCATCGGCCATGGGCAATGGCGAGGCATCCCATCGACGCTTGGGTTGGGGAAGAGGTTGGGAAAGCGCTGCGTGAACTGAGGGATGAGACAACGTGGTTGGCTTGGGTGGAGGAAGGAGGCAGCAGTGGTGCTCCGTGATTTCACGGAGATGTGGAGGAGAGAGATACAAGATGGAATGGGAGAGGATAAGTCTGAGTGGACACTTGAGGGGGAGGTATCGAATGGATACAATACGTGGACGACGTGAGACCACGTCGTTCGGAGGGACTCCCGGTGTCTGAACACTATAATCATATCATTACCAGAATTAAATAGGTTTTGTGTCAATAACAAGGTTCCCGAGACAAAATAAAATGTGCATCACTACGAAAGATGCATGTTTGGTTTAGGCTTTGTACTTTTAACCCTTTACTACCTTCATTCTCTTTTATGGTGCGCTGCTAGACATGACACGGTCTACGAAATTACAGTTTAACCATGGAGCTGCCCTTACATCCCATCTCCATCTCTCTTTCCTCAATGTATGTTGCCTATCTCTAAGTTTCTTGTATATCCATCTCTATCTCTTTCTTCCTTCTCTGCTCCCAGAGGCGCGCGACCGATGTCGAGGGGCCTCGGTCCCGGGCATGGCGGGCGAGGTGGCCCCAAGCCTAGGCAACAGAGCGGAGGCCCTCGGTGCTGTGATGGGGCGGCCTTGGCCCCGAGTGCAACAGGCGAGGTGGCCTCAGGCCCTGTCGCGGGAGGGCACGATGGGCTCCCAATGCGAGCGACACGTGGGTCCACTAGGCCGAGGATGCAGGTGCGTGGTGTGTGGGTCACGCTTTTTATCTTTTAATCACTTTTTAGAGGCGTGTTAATTTATGATCTTCTCTATAAATCAATTTCTAGGAACGGGTGGACACCTGCATCTAGGCATCATGGATTTTCAGAGACCAACGCATAGAGGCGGTTACTATAGCCATCTCTAAGGGGGCATTTTGACCGCCTCTAATAAAAAGCACCTATGTATTAGAGCAACTCCAAAAGCCTCTTTATATCGTTTCTTACTAATAGGAATGAAGATTATAGTGAAAAATATCCTACAACGGTTTCTTTTATTAGGTCTCCAATTATTGCCATTCTCTATTCCGGATTTCTCGATGGTCAAAGATAGAGAGCGGGGTTTGTTCTCTATAGTGTGCACAAGATATACAAAAATATTGGAAGATGGAAAGATATTAAAAACGGTTTTAATCAAATAGCTCTACAAATGATGAATTAGAGAGTGAGTTTAAGAAATGTGGGATATTCACTTCATCTAAAAGAGAATGTAATTCTAGGTCTGTCCTGAGTTAAATTAACTTATTTATACAAATAATTAACAATATTTATGACACCAAATATTTATTATTAAATTTAAATTATGTAATATATGTTCGTAGTATATCTATTTGAAGTCATAAATATTTCTATCCCTTCTATTTTTTATAAATATAGTTAAATTTAAGATAGTTGACTTACCTGAAAATTTACTTTTTTTGAGGAGGAAGCAGTACAATATTGTGTGTAGTCATGATTCATGATAAGTCATGGTTACATGGATGATGGATCAACATTCCGATGTCAACTATTGATTCTTACTAGCAAATATGCCCGTGCGTTGCAACGGGATTGAAAAAGCTATCAAACATTCATAGAAAATGAGGGCCAAGATAATACTAACCTATTTATGGTTTATCCTTCTATAAAATTT